ACGCAAAAAAATTCTACGCAAACTGGAAAAAATGAGGAAATACGCACAGAAGAAGAAATAATTTAAAAAAATTAGACTGCACTAAAATAGACAGATTAACATTAAAGATAACAGAAAAAGAAGGCACAGAATATTTTCGAACTTGGGACTTGTTTTATCAACGGTTGGATAATAGAGGTAGAAATTAGGAGTTTAATATTGTTATATAAACGAATTGACTCAGACAGTATGCTGTTCACCAGGCACTTATTGTCTGGTGAAGAGAAAATATATAAATAAAATTTAAAAAATAATAATAAAAGACTGAAATAGCCAGATAAAGAAACCCTGGAGGGAAAGCTCAGATTTGGGTGATGAAAAAGGAACATAGGTTAAGAAAGGTAAAGATGTCCAGAAATTGAGTCGTGCCACAACTTTTCTTGGCCAATCAAGGAACAAGTTTTGTTTTTTTCAGGATGAAATTCACCTTTTCAGTCCAGTTTCAGCCCTGGGATCTTCCAGCCCAAAACTAACCCGGCTTTCAGATCCATATAGGTGGTCTAGGAACTCCCAATTTCCAGCCTTGGAGGGACTCTTCTGTAGCAGCTAACGACTACTTCAGCTTCAACCGCAATAACACACAGACAAACAATGGATACAAACTCAAAGTAAACCGCTCCAAACTCGATTGCAGAAAGTACGACTTCAGCAACAGAGTGGTCAATGCCTGGAACTCACTACCTGACTCTTGTTGCATCCTCAAACAAACCCCAAAACTTTAACCTTAAACTGTCTCCTGTGGACCTCACTCCATTCCTAAGAGGTCTGTGAGGGGGCGTGCATAAACGCACCAGCGTGCCAGTGGTGAGATTCAATTTTTTTTTTTTTTACTACCGGTTCTGTGGCCGTGGCTTGGTGGGCGTGGCGGGGGAAGGAAACTGTAAAATGTCCAGTCAGAGGTGGGATTTGCCAGTTCTCCAAACTACTCAAAATTTCCGCTACTGGTTCTCCAGAACTGGTCAGAACCAGAGGTGGTATTCAGCAGGTTCTGAACAGTTCTGGAGAACCGGTGGCAGAAAATTTGAGTAGTTCGGAGAACCGGAAACTGGCTCCGCCAACCCCACCTATTCTCTGCCTCCCATTGAGTCCCAGCTGATCGTCTGGGTCTTCTTTGGTTACCCTGCACAGGAGAACAGAGCTGGAAAGCAGGTCAGTGGGGTGGGGACTGGGAGAGAATGGAGATTTTGCGATATCCTTCCTCTGCCACGCCCACCAAGCCACACCCACAGAACCAGTAGTAAAATTTTTTGAATCCCACCACTGGTCAGAACGTCCTACCGTCCCTGTCCTACTGTTCCCATTTATTCGTTCTCATTTATTATGTATATACTTATACCTATTTATACTTATACAGTACATTTGTATGTTATGTTCATACTTACACTTGTTTTCTCATACATGCTTGGCAAACCAAACGAAATGAAATACATAAAAATAAATAGAGCAACGTTATGGCTGAGAAGACTTCATTTCATTTTCTATTAAATACATCACACTGATCTTCTTCAGTCTCATATGGGTAGTCCTTGATTTACGACCTGAACTGGGACCAGAATTCTGTCGCTAAACAAGGGGGTTCAGTGAGTGAGCCATGCCTGATTTTATAATTTTTTCAGTTGTAAAATGAATTCCACAGTTGTTAAGTGAATCACGTGGCTATTAAGTGAACCCTGCCTCTGCCACGGAGCATCATAAATACAGGTTGGATGCGAAGTACCCAAAATTTGGTTACGCGACCATGACGATGCTGTGGGAGTCTTAAAATAATTTTTTTTCAGTCCTATGGTAACATTAAATGGTCAGTAAACGAATGGTTTTAAGTCAAGGATGAATAGTATTGTATACATTTCACTTCTGCAATGTTTCACCCAGATGAAACAGCTTTTGGAGGCCTTGAGAAATGGGGCAGGAGAGAAGAGGTGGTGGTTTAGGCCTGAGAAAGAGGAGAGCATCAGAAGAGCATGGAGAACAGCCCCGCCGTAAGGTTGCTATTCTTTAAAGGGGGCAGTGAAGATTTTGGATGTTTCACGATCCTTTTAATTATCCCAGGACAATAAAATAGCACCTCTAGAACCCTGTCATTGTGTCATGCCCCTATCTGACTCGGAGGAGGAAGCTGAGCAACTGACAGGGAGTGGGAGTGTGGCTCCGTTGGCTGTGGGGAAAAAACTGGGGAAGGGCAAAGTCCGGGTGGGCAGAGCAGGGAAGAGGTAGAACAAGGGAGAGGGAGTTCAGAGGAAGACCCAGGCCCACCCCCTCTTCATCCTAGAGCACAGAGAGAGGAACGGAGAAGAGAGCAATGTGGGTTGCGTGGCTTATGAGGGAGGAAAGGGCCCTGATTCCCTTCATTAGCTGCAGCTGGGAACACAGTGTATAAAAAAGGCAAGTTGCATGCAGCAAGCTGTTGGGAGCAAATGTGACTTTATCTTGTATCGTTGTGGCTTATCTGTGTTCCTGGTGTCTTCCCAACTGTGTGAGTTTTTCTGTGTTTTCAAGTTTGAAATTCCTGCTTCTGCCCTGCCAAACTAATTACTTCAGTTTGGTTGGTTTGGATTTTACAGTTTGCGTTGCTCATGTTTTGGACTGGATTTTCTACAGTCAAAGGCTGTTCCTGGGAGAGTTTTTTTTTTTTTCAGCCTGAAGGTAACCTGGACATTGGGGGCAAAGTTGGAGATGATAAAGGGACTCTTATTGCTTATCTGACTGTGTTGCCTTTGTGCCATGCCCCAGTTCATCACACATTGTCTAATATTTGACCAGACCTACATTGAAGGCCTGATAGGCACCTAAGGATTTTGAAGCTACAATCTTTAGCTCAGGGCTGTCCCACCTTGGCAACTTTAAGACTTGTGGATTTTGACTTCCAGAATTCCAGAATTTTGGAAGTCAATCAATCAGAATAGAGTTGAAAGGGGCCTTAGAGGTCTTCTAGTCCAACCCCTGCTCAAGCGGGAGACCCTATACCATTTCAGACAGGTGGCCATCCAGTTTCTTCTTAACAGTCTCCAGTGATGGGGTACCTATAACTTCTGGAAACAAAGCTGTTCCACTGTTTAATTGTTCTCCCTGTTAGGAAGTTTCTCCTTAATTCCAGGTTGCTTCTCTCCTTGTTTAGTTTCCATCCATTGTTTTTTTTTTTTGTCTTGCCTTCTGATGCTTTGGAAAATAAGTTGAAATCCACAAGTCTTAAAGTTGCCAAGGTTGGACACCCCTGCTCTAAACCACCAACTTTAAGTAAGGAATGATGAACCCCTTCTAGATAACCTGAATTTGAAAAAAGGCGCATTGATCTGCTATGGAGAATTCTAAGCCCCTTGCTTAGACAAGACCAAACCTTGGAGAAGTGATGTTGCAAACCACTAGAAACATGTCCAGGGTTATTCCTTTTGCTCCTCTGTCTTGTTCCCGCTGTCCCAGTTCATCCCCATTTCCAAGCAAAGATTAGGGGGAATGAAAAGCAATAGTGACAGCACTTAAGATTTATATACCGCTTCACCCTGCTCTCTAAGCAGTTTACAGAGTCAACCTCTTGCTCCTGACAATCTGGGTTCTCGTTTTATTAACCACAGAAGGGATTGAAGGCTGGGGTAACCCTGGAGCTGGTCAGGATCGAACTCCAGGCTGTGGGCAGAGTTAGTGTCAGCCTTCAAGATCTTCTACTACTGCTTTTCATCTTTTGGCTGCCATAAGTAACGGGGGGAGGAGGGGGAATATTGTCTGGGAAGAGAGCTGGAGGTGTTACATTCTTGTGTTGTGTAAATGAGGAGAGGGGGGAGTATAAATTCCTGCTTTAGGTTTCTATTTCTCGCTTAGCTTTCTTTTTTCTGCGCAGCTGCAAACCTTTATCAAAATATGTCAAGGTCAACGGACAGAGGCCTCATCACCACCTGAAGATGTCCACATGATCATATTCAGAACTTTTATTTGGAAGAATCTTTTGAACTATGGGGTTGGTGGGTGGGAACAATTTCATCACTTTGTATATGTGATCTGGGTGCCTAATTTCTCAGATTCAGAATCCTATTTGATGCTACCACTTCATTTTTCAGTAAAAGAATTCTTTTCTCTAATTTATGGGAGTCTAAGTATTTCTTTCTTGGATTTTGAATGGAGCACCGACTGACAGTTAGCCTGCAAGTCTGCATTCTAACCACTGTACCACCAGGGCTCCATGAAATTAGCCAGTGCCGTCGAGGTGACCTGTGGTAGGTAAGAAACTATTGTAGACTTTCTACGAGTTAATTACAATAACAGATTATTAACAAAGGGCTTTGAAGTTTAACTTTGCTGTTGATTAACGTGTGAACTATTTTTTCTTCAGATACATACATGTAGGTAGCAATAGCACTTAGACTTATATACCGCTTCCCAGGGCTTCCCAGTCCTCTCTAAGCAGTTTACAGAGTCAGCCTCTTGCCCCCAACAATCTGGGTCCTCGTTTTACCCACCTCAGAAGGGATGGAAGGCTGAGTCCACCTTGAACCTGGTGGGATTTGAACTGCCAAATTGGAGGCAGCTGGCTGCAGAAGTAGCTTGCAGTACTGCACTCTAACCACTGCACCACAGAGGCTCATATGTGTGTGTATGTATACATGTTCAATGTATGACAGGTCAAACTGGATGGCTAACAGATGTAAAATTTTATAAACCTGGACCTGTTTTGCAAGGGGGAAAGCTATTACGGTTGCAATATATTTGCTAGTGTCCAACTGGGGCGGGGGCATAATATAGGTTTTTAAATTTTTTAAATCTTTTCAACTCACACCTTTTGGTCTAGTTTTGTTTCGTCTTTGTAAATTCCACCCCCCACCCCCCGTATTTTAATTTTCAGGATAAAATTTAAAAAATTAACAAAAGAAATTACCCAGCGCCACAGGAAAAAACAGCCCTCATATCCGACAGATAAGATTTTCCCTTCCCTTTAGCAGAAGCGCCCCTCCCCCCCCCCCCAAACTCCTTACCGGAGAGTGAGTAATCGGTGTTGGTCATCCTCATGGCCGGAGTGTACGAGACGCTTGGCATGTCGTGCCCTTTCTTCTGCTTACGTCGATACCACACAAACAGTGCCAGCAAAACCATAATAATTAGCAGGAGGATAATAATTCCAGAGATTGCTCCCACTGAATGCCTCTCAGATCCAAGAGCTGGGCTAATTTTAGTATAGGGATTTAATTCTTCCATCATGAGAGCCGCTGTTAAAAATAATTCACAATGCACCATTAAATTAAGTGGCGGAGGCCAGGTTGCAAGAAAGGGCCAGCTATTACGGGGGATTACAGTTGTTAAAGCTTTCCAACAGCTCGTCTCAATCGGGTCAGTGGACTACAACTCCCATCAGCGCCAACCCACGAGGCCAAGAGCGAGGGATGCTGGGAGATGTGGTCTGGCCATATCTGGAAAGCTGCTCTTTGGGGCCTCATGCCAGTTGAAAGGAAACCGTCGGTAGCCCCAAGAAATCACTTTCCTCCCATTTCATGATTTTACAGGGTGTATCTCTGCCCCCACCTACCAGCTTTGGATTCACTCCAACAGCAATTTAGACTTATATACCGCTTCCCAGGGCTTCCCAGTCCTCTCTAAGCGGTTTAGAGAGTCAGCCTCTTGCCTCCCAACAATCTGGGTCCTCATTTTACCCACCTCGGAAGGATGGGAGGCTGAGTCGACCTTGAGCCAATCGGGATCGAACTGCTGGCAGTGGGCAGAAGAATTAGCCTGCAATACTGCATTCCAACCACTGTGCCTTACTGAGGAGGGGTGAGCCAGTCCTACGGAGATGACCTCTCCCAGCGGTTCTAGCCAAATCTGCCTTATGAAATGCAAGGGACAGGAGGAATCTACAAAAAGGCGGTCAAAATATCGAGGGCCCGCAAAAATGGAAGCAGAGTTCCAACTTTTTCTCCCTGCGCAGCGCCTAGTTATGGTGCCCATGTTGACTTATGTTGACCCACCTTTAGACATTCTTCTGGGAGATATTTGGGAGAGAAGGAATGTCCCCAAACAAGACAATTTATTTTATTTTATTTATTTAGAAGATTTATATGGCTGCCCGCTCACACACACAGTGACGCTAGGCGGTTAACAAAAAGTCAAAAACCCAATGTAAAAAAGAATAAAAAAATCCAATAACCTTGCTCCCTATCCCTCTGGTGACACCACACAATCAAACAAGCCACTTGATGGGCTTCATCCCAGGTTGGGTTCCCCAGGCCCGTTGCTAAAACCAGGACCTTCCAGGGCCTTGTGAAAGTGTTTTCAAAGTGGGGGCCAGTCTAAACTCTGCAGGGATGATGTTTCAAAGGGAGGGAGGGAGGAACCACGGAAAAGGCCCTTCTTCTGGGTCTTGCAAAATGTAGTTCTGCAGGAGAAGGGACCTCCAATGTTCCTTGCCTCCCCCGGTCTGTTGGGTTGGGTAGATGTGGCCGGGAAGAGAGATGGTCCCTCAGACAACCCAGTCTTTAAACCACAGAGGGCTTTAAAGGTGACCACCAGCACCTTGAATTGCACCTGGAAGCAAATTGGCAGCCAATGCAAATCTTGTAGTAGAGGGGACACGTGTGCACACCTGGGCCTGCACAACGATTATACGATGGCGTCTGAATCGGATGGTTTTATTCTAGCGAAATAAATGCACGACTGAGTCTCTACCGCCATACTGCGCCCTCTTTGTTAAACCTCAGCCTTTCAGCTTTCCTTCAAAAAGGTTCCGGTTTCTAGTCCTCATGGGAAAAAAAAGTCGAGCAAAAGCTAGATAGTCTACCAATCCTGCCTTTTTCCCCTCCTGTGTGAATTTCTTCCAGGGTATAATCATTTTTTGGGAGGATGGTGGTGTCTTTTTGAAGAATGGCCCGAGTTGAAGGCTCCATTGAAAAGGAAAAGAGCAAAGAAGGAGAGAGAGAGAGAAGTTGCCTCACCTTGATCGCACCTGATTCCCTTGAACCCGGGGCTGCAGTAACAGGTCCCTGTAACATAGTCACAGGTGGCGTTATTCATACATTCGCAGAGCTGCTGGCAGCCGTAACCAAACGTTCCTTGTGGACACTCTGAAAATGCAAGGTGAGAAAAGGTCTGGATAAAAAAACAGCATTTCGCCAATCTAGTTATTTTTTTTTTTGCAATAGGACATCATCAGAAGATGCTAGTGTCAGGATTCCGGCAGTTGCCCCCAATTAAATCATGAGTCTTGAGCCAAACTTCCAAAACTTCAAAAGGATTTATTGGGAGTTAACATGCCAGCACTGCCTGGGTGTAGCTGACTCTGAGGCATGTCATTCATTGTCACCCTTGACCCTGGTTTTCCCTCCACCCCCTGGGTGTATCTTAATTCATATTCTCCAATGGGACACATCCATAGCCAAGAGTCATCAATCATGTTCTCCAGTTAGAATTTTGCGTGGCAGAAACTTCAGTCACCTAGTTACTATCTTTGAAAACATTTATGGAATGCACTTTCTGTTTGCAAGCTGCCGCACTGCTCCCCCTCCCTTTCTGTTGGCAACTCTAAAAAGACCATAGAAATATTTTATGAGTTGACAACTAGTTAGGAAAAAAACTCAGGTAAACCTCACGGCCTTCCTGTAGGACAGTATTTTTCCAATCTTGGCCACTTTTAAGATGGGTAGACTTCAACTCCCAGAATTCCCAGCCATCCATATAAGTCTTGGGGGGGGGGGGGGGGAGAGGATTTCCATTTTTGGTTTTGAGTGATTGTTCTCATTAGTGGGGCTACAGTTGGTGATTGTCACGTCCCCGTCGGAGCCTGAATCTGCAAGGGGGAAGATGAGCTGGAACCTGAGCCTTTCAGGAGTAGGACAGCTCGTAGACAAGGAGGAACAGGGGCAGGACGAATGTGAGAGAGCTCAGGGGATGAGCAAGGACCGCCTCCTCCTGATCCGAGAGCACAGAGAGTGGAGAGAAGGCGAGAACAGTGCAGACTGAGCAGGCCACTCGGGAGGAGAGCGCCCTGTCCCTCTTCACAAAGCACACCTGGGGGATGAGGCTTCAGGAGACGCTGTGGCGAGGGGCCTTTGTTGGGAACAAATGCTGAGTGTCTGAAGTGTTGAGTGCCAACACTTGAACTTTCCAAGAGTCCTTGCATTTTTTTTCTGGCTTGCTGCCCTGATTCCCTGGATCCTTTGCTTCCTGAACTCCTTGATTTGCCCTGCTGGATTTATTGCTGTGCAGCCTTGATGTACACAGCACTGGGCTAGACTATCTGCAGCCAGAGGCTGCTTGAGTTGTGTGTGTGTGTGTGTGTGTGTGTGTGTGTGATCACTTTGCTCTGGGACTTGCCAGAAACGTGGAAGCGTTTGGGGAAATTTGGAGCAATGAAGGGGCGGTTTGAACTGCCAGCTATTTGTGGTTATCTGCGTGCCGTGCCCTGGGTCATCACACTGGCATTCTTTCCGATGTTTTCCATAACACTAAAGCTTCCGTTTTCCCTTGAGATTTCATGAGAGACCCGGAGAGGCTCACCTGCCCTCATCTTCCTGACCACGAAATAAAAGCAAGAACACCCACATTTTCTCCCCCAAACCCCTTTTCAAAAGCAAATATTTGTGGATCAAATTCAATGAGAACTAACAGGGAAAAAACAAATATGTAGGAGAGTTTTGGGGCATAGAGACATGGCCGGCTCGCTGGAGTCCACTGAGATGATGATGCACCTTTTCTCAATGAAAGTGGCCATCACTTTCTTAAACCATCTTTTGTCTTCCCCTTTGATGCCGGCTACCCTGAACAGCATCAGGCTGCCAGATCCGGTTGCCCAATGGATTTCCCATCATGCCCCTGGGGAGGATCCACGGGTGGGCTGCTGGAGGTTCGCAGGGATTCGGGAAAGCGCCTAGCTAAGATTCTGTTCTGTGCAGTTCTGTGCGGTTTGGAGAACCCCAAAATCCCCTCCTACCCCGTCCCTCCCCTCCCAGGAGCCCCAACGCAGCCCGTTTTGAATGCAGGGAACTGCAGGGGGCACGCAGAGGCTCGGGGAGGGTGAAAAATGGGCCTCCCGGAAGTTCAGGAAGGCCGGAAATGGGCCCGTTTCTGGCTTCCAGAGAGCCTCCGGAGCCCGGGGAAGCCGTTTTCGCCTTCCCGGAGGCTCAACAAAAGCCTCTGGAGTCTGGGGATGGTGAAAATGCCCCCCTGCCATGGTGCAGGTGGCCACCAAGCAACCGGACAGAGAACCCGTTGCTAAAATTTTTGAAGCCCACCCCTGGGACTATCTCTTCACGGCAGGGTGGGAAATCCCCCCCCCCCACGGCAACCTGCACAGTCGCATTTGACGGAGTGTAATTTAATTTTTGCAAGCGACTGAAGTGCGGTTTAAAGCGTCGCTCTTCATAGAGTCAATGTTTTCCCTTTGGTAACGCCAAGCATGGAAAATACGCACGAATTTTTTGGAAAACCCTGAAGGCGGAGAATATATTTCTGCAGGGTTTGGGGCCCTGCAGCCTTGAGCAAGACAAGCCAGGCGGGGCCTCTGCTAAAGGAGAGCCCTCTGAACAGAAGCTCGCCCGGAGGCCATCAAAACTTTATGTTTCCATTTCCCCCTTATTCTCTCTGCAGACTGCCCACATTTGGTTCCCCATATTTCTATCAGAGGGAACATGATTGAATGGCCAGTGACAGAATTTATTCATACAATTACTGTGATGGCGACAATAAATCTGGCGACAGCTTATTGTGTTTCTTTGGGCAATATTCAATAAGAAATGAAGCGGCCGGCGGTAAGCCAGCTGGTGACTCTGCTACACCGGTGGGAGAGTTTGAGGGACACACCCTCAAAGCTCTCCACATTCCTCTTCGACCCAGGCTTTGCAGATACATCGAGACAGGGAGAGAGGGAGGGTTGAGAAGGAGGAAAGAAGGAGGGAGGAAAGAAGGAAGGAAAGAAGGTGGGAGAGAGGGAGAAAGGAAAGAAGGATGGAAGGAAGGAAGGAAGGAAGAGAGGGAGGGAAGAATGAAGGAAAGAAGAGGGAGGCAGGCTGGCAGGGAGAGAGGGAGAAAAGAAAGAAGGACGGATGGATGGAAGGGAGGGAGGGAGGGAGAAAAGAAGGGAAGAAGAGGGAGGGAGGTAAGCAGAGAGGGAGAGAGAGAAGGAGGTAAGAAGAATGGATGGGAAGGAGGGAGGAAAGAAGGAAGGAAAGACGGAGGGAGAGAGGGAGAAAGAAAAGAAAGATCAATGGAAGGAAGAGAGGGAGGGAGGAATGAAGGAAAGAAGAGGCAGACAGGCAGGAAGGCAGGGAGAGAGAGAGAGAGGAAAGAAGGATGGATGGAAGGGAGGGAGGGAGGAATTAAGAGGGAGGGAGGGAGAGAGGGAGGGAGAGAGGGAGAAAGGAAAGAAGGATGGATGGATGGAAGGGAGAGGGAGGAACGAAGGAAAGAAGAAGGAAGGGGGAGGTAGGCAGGGAGGGAGAGAGAGAAGGGAAAGAAGGGGGAGGGAGGAAGCAAGGAAAGAAGGATGGATGGATGGAAGGAAGGGAGGGAGGAATGAAGGAAAGAAGAGGCAGACAGGCAGGAAGGCAGGGAGAGAGAGAGAGAGGAAAGAAGGATGGATGGAAGGAAGGGAGAGGGAGGAATGAAGGAAAGAAGAAGGAAGGGGGAGGTAGGCAGGGAGGGAGAGAGAGAGGGGAAAGAAGGGGGAGGGAGGAAGCAAGGAAAGAAGGATGGATGGATGGATGGATGGAAGGAAGGGAGGGAGGAATGAAGGAAAGAAGAGGGAGGGAGGCAGGGAGGGAGAGAGGGAGAAAGGAAAGATGGATGGATGGAAGGGACGGAGAAAAGAAG